GCTAGACCTTCCTTTGTAAAGTGTCCTGAGATGACTTTTGCTGTGATTTGGCAATATACAAATAAAATTTGATTTGATTTGATTTATTTGCCTGAAAGTCACAAAAATCAAAACAAAATGGTTAATGCCACAGTTTTGATGCCTTACTTTGATGCTAGCCCACATCCAGAGCAGCATACCAGACACCCTGGACCCCCTGCAGTATGCCTACTGACCCAACGGGGACACCTTAGACGCTGTCGCGGCTGGCCTCCACTATTCCCTTTCTCAACTGGAGAATGGAGATTCTTACATCAGGATACTCTTCATTAACTACAGCTCTGCCTTCAACACAGTTATCACCCACAAACTGTCCACACTGGGTCTGCACCCCACCCTCTGTGACTGGCTCCTGGACTTTCTGACTGGCAGGCCCTAGACTGTCAAGATTGGCAATAGGACTTCAGCCAGCATTATCACGAACATCGGCACCCCACAGGGATGTGTCCACAGTCCCATCCTCTACACCCTGTTCACCCATGACTGTGTCACCTCCCACAAGGATAACATCATCCTAAAGTTTGCAGATGACACCGCAGTGATAGGTCACATCGCTGGTGGGGACAAAGCAGCCTACAGGAGGGAGGTGGCCGTTCTGGTGTTATGGTGCAAGGACAATAATCTCAGCCTCAACACAGACAAGACGAAGGAGATGATAGTGGACATGAGGAAGGAGAGGTCAAGAAGGCCCAATGGCGGCTGTACTTCCTGAGGAGGCTGAGGAGGTTTGCATGTTGCCTAGGATCATTTGCAACTTCTCCAGCGGCATCACTGAGAGCATCTTGACCAGCTGCATCACTGTCTGGTATGGCAGCACTACTGCTATCAACCACAAGCCCCTGCAGAGAGTGGTAAAGACTGCGGAGAAGATCACCAGGACTCCACTGCCCTCTCTGCAGAGAATTTACCACCACAGGGTGCATAGGAAAGCTGCCTCCATCCTCAAAGATCCAACACACCCTCAGCATGGACTGTTTATACCCCTACCCTCTAGTCGGAGGCTCAGATTTGTGAAATGCAGGACTTCTAGACTGAAAAACTCTTTCTTTCTGACTTTCTTTCAGACTCCTAAACAGCTAACTCAGGTTCTACCTCATGTAATTCCATCTGTACTGTTTACATACTCATTTTGCACATGCATAATTTCACACTCACTGCTGAGTATTTGCACTCCACGGCTCCCATGTAGCATATATTCTCTCTGCATTATATTGTGTTCTTGTTGTATTTTTATTGTGCTTCTTTCACTTGCTCCTTTAAAGTGCCTTAGATCTGTGTTACTGCCTATTTAGATTTGTGTTATTGCTCATCTACTTTATATTTCACTTGTATTGTGTGGCATTCAAGTGGACGGCAAAGTAAGAATTTCATTGTACAGGGAAACACGTTTCATAACTGTGCATATGACAAATAAACACTTTGACCTTTGACTTTTGTCAGGTGTTTGATTTCAGATTTATTGTGGTGGTGAGCAGAGGCCAAATGGCAAAAAAATCACATCATTGTTCCAATATTTATGAACCTGAGTATAAAACTAAACATTTTTTGTTTTGCTATATAATTACAGTATTTTAATGATTTGCAGATAATATGCTGTGTTACATTTGGTTGCTTAGTAATATATATGCTTTTGTCTGTTATCGTTATCTTTCAATCAGGTATAGGAAGAAAATGGTGAATGTTTATTGCAGGTGATCTTCCTGCTAATGTAAACATATTAGAACTGCAGAATAGAATAGAAATTTCAGGAGTTTTTAGAAAATTGTGTTGGATATACATATATAGTGTGATCTGGAAGAATGATTTTAATACTGGATTTATGGAAGTATCATACCTTTTTTGAGAGACAGCTTAATATAAAGGGACGCTGCAGGATGTCACTGGCTGTTGGTCTTGATTCAGGGTGTGTACTGAATATGTCATTCAAGAGTTGGCGAAGCTTTGGTGAGAACTGCTCAGGGAGGGATGGGTAAGGACCATGAAGTATCATGGGCTTGAGCTTGATTTTGGACTCCGCTGAAAACTTAAGGAGAATTGTTGTTAGAAATCACTTATTAATGATAGTAGTAACATTACTTTCCTCATTACTCAATATACAAAAATAAACATATTACCCATCAGTTTAGTTTTATGTTACTCTCTGTAGGTCATGTCTAAGATTAGTATTTTATTTTTCTTGTCTGAAAGGTAAACAGAAAGAAATGTTCTACCACAGACATAGAAAGCCTATTAACCATAAGTTTGGAAATTAACTGTAATTGGAAGGTTTTAATATAAGTTTCAGTGTTGATGTGATAAATTTGTGGTTGTGCTTACTGCCATGGAATGGTGATTCTGATCTGGATGTGTTTTACAATTAGGTCACAAGTCTTGGTGATACACAAACAGTGCAGAGGCTGTCATGCCTATTGTACTTTAGGTGCTCTGAGAGCTTAAAAGTCAATAAGCTAAATCAAATAATTTTCCTTGATGACACACGGGCTCTAGAGCATGAATTTCATGTTTCCACACTGAAGTAGCAGCTTGGATTTTTGAGATGCTTGGAAGACAAAGAAGTTACGTTAGCAACAAGAGGAAGCACGTTGTGAGTTCAAGAACTATAATTTGAAGAAATTGAGGATCACAGTTATATTTTAACACAAGACAAAGGACAACATGAATCTCTATTGCCAAAGAAGCAACGACACAAAGCAACAGGATAGGTGACAGCACAAGACAAGGATACACATTGGTGTGGCCTTTGGCAGATGGAAATTCTTGATGAGGGACAAATATTTTCAGAATGAAGATGAAGTTGCCTGTTTTCTGCTCAACAGGTAATTTAGCCCAACTGAATCCACACTGCAAGCAAGACCTGAGCAGCACATTCTGTGTTGATCAGCTGTCTGTCTGTCAGGAGGACAGTGGCAGGAGAAAGAGTCTTCACCAGGTAGACAAACAGCATATATGTACTGGACAAAAATACTTTACATGTATGCTTATCAGGAAGAAATCGCCTTTTAATGTAGCATGTAGATTTAGTGATTTTTCCTCAGGTCTTCAGAGAGTGAATGTGAAACTCAAAGCAGTCTGACTGAGTTGGCCGTAGAGCTGAGGAAAATTAATGGAATTAAACTGATAAACTGATAATTGATAATTAATTGACAAAGTTTAGTTACAAAGTTATCAATGAATGTACTGTATGATGTATGGTTTGAGAAAAACACTGTGGGTAGACCTCATGAAAGGTCAAAAACAATCTCAATATTTGTGCTACATACACCAGTCTGATAGCTAAGACTATGTATATAATGCTTGTGAATCAGATTCAGAAAGATTGTAAAGACACAGTTTAATCAAACAGTTCAGTCCTTTCTCTAAGGTTCTTGCAGCTGTTGAGCTAGTCAACACTGGATGTTTCGTCTGATAGATTGGTTATTTGAGGAAGTGGAGTCTGCCATAAAGTAGGACTTACCGTGCACACACATTTCAGAGTAGTACTGTATATATTTTCTTAAAACAACTATACTATAATATAATATATTATATGTAATATTTATAAAGTATAAAATGTTCTTTATTGCTACATATTTTACAAGAGAGTACCTGTCTGATTATGTTTGTATTTTTAATCTCTTTGATTACATATCTTTGCAAAGTTGTACACCTTTGTGTGACTTACCACTGCTTTTTGAGTACAGAGTTCATAGAGTAGGCATCCTAGTGACCAAATATCACTATAAATAAAGCAAAAAATATTATCATGGTAGTAGTAATAGAAGTACAAAAGGCATTAAAAATATCAAATGCTGATAATGAAGCAGGTAACAACATTAGGCAAATAATTTAATTAATTAAATTAAATTTAAAAAAAATCCTTATTCAGCTTATTACTGTTGGAGTAAGACAAAACAACACCAAAATCTTTGCTTTGTTGAAGAGTGCAGCAATTACTCAAGAAACCAGTGTATTTGGCTGGATTTTTCACCATAGCAAGTATACAGTATGTTTTATTTGATAAGGTGATAAGTACAAAAGTTTACTGTGCATGACTGCTCATTGTTCACTGTTGTTGAATAGAGTAGACATGTTTTTTAAAATTTCGTTTTTGTACTGTATTGTATCAAAGTATAGTATTTAATCAAAGGATCTAATTGCGTGAGAGGAGAAATTGAAATTGTTTGGGTCCATCTTTTTTTTGGCACATTAGTGTGGAATGAATGAATGTGCTCACACGGTACAACTGATGTCATATTTATGCCGATTGCAATTCTGACCTGAAACGACAATAGTGATAACATCTTTTATCACAATCGCAGTTGCATTTTCCTGATGAACACATAGGTTAGAAAACATGAGAACAGGTTCCAAAATATTGTGTAAAAAAAAAAAAGAATTGCAAAAACTTAGGAAATAAACACAAAAGTGTTGTCTCAAGTAAATTTCTCATTTTGGTAACAACCTTTTTACCTTTTAGCATCATAGGTTCCCTGTGTGAGGACCTCTGGCGCCATATAGCTCATTGATTCTAGCGATTCTGAATTAGTGGTTGACTGAGGTGTTTTTGTACTGGGTGATAAAAACAAACAAAAATAAAACAAATACATGAATATCATACACACAAACAAACACACACATACACTTGTCTTTCTATAGCTTTGAGTACACTCAGTGACATATGGAAGCCCTAAGCCTAATGCTATTATATTATTATATATTTTGAAGTCTTATTTTGATCATTGTCCTGTGGTAGAATCAGACTCTTTTCAGTTTTAGATTTTGACTGACTGCATGACATTTGCTTTTGGTTTTCAGTGGAATCTATTTGTTCCTCTCCGGTACAGTGTTACTACAGTACTTTTTGCTTTACTACTCAGATTGGCAAGGATGTGTTAATAAATACTGTACTGTCTTAGTGCCCAAACCTGTGCACGTTCTACAATTACTGCATCTATCATCCATCCATCCATCCATCTATATAAAGTTCATAAACCAAAATGTCAGGTCAATTTTATAATCACATTATCAAAAAAATGCCTCGAGGGGCTTCACAGTCTGTAAAGCATAAAGTAACTCTTTAGGATTAGGGCAATTTTTAAATGTCTGTTTGCTGCCGGGGTTGTATTTACCTCTTTTTACTTTAAAAAGAAAACATCATTTTCCCAAGGATGTCCAAACTTTTGTGCACAAACATACAAACATATACTTTAGTTAGTATATTAGCTTATAAAATATTAAAAGAGCAAAAAGACTGTACTTTTTATGGGCTTTTTGAAATCCACACAGGCGCACTGTTCCAAATTCTGTGAGGAATATGTCCTACAAAATGAAGAAAGGTAAAACTGTAAATTGAGTCACTTTAAGAATTGCAACAAGTAAAATTAATGTTACTGATAAGATGTATTAAAATAGTTAATGGTTAAGTTTGATGGAACTGCACAGTGTTTTAGTGTAGTACCTCTGGCGTCAGATCTTTTTGAACCAACCCCTTTTCATGAATGGTTCTCAAAGCCACACTGATCTCAGTTAACCAGCTCAGCACCTAGAAAACAAATGAATGTACTTCTAGAAAAGCAGGAAT